CCTCTGGACATACTAGGAAGTTCTGGTGGCCTAATGGTAAGGCATTTGCTGACAAACCAGAGGCATGCGATTGGAATCCATGTAGCTGTTCCTTGTGAAAAAGAGAGGCAGTCAACTCCTGTGTACTTACTGCCTTTGAAAACCTACTGGTTGGTCAGCTGTGGGTCACTTCCAACTCGACGGTATATAACAACAACTGGACATAGTAAAAGTGTCTTTATTTGAGTGAAAGTTTACAGAGCAAATTGGTTTTCTATTTGTATAATGTTAATGTATGTTTTGTTTCATGACACTTATTACAATCTCCATGTTGTGGCAGGACTCTCCTTACTTCTTCCCTGTCTTTCTCATTTTTATCCTCTTGCCTGTTCCTTCCAGCCACCCACCTTTTTTTTGAGACCTGATTTATTAAAAATTTTAATTTAACATACAGTAACGTCAGTGAGACCTCAAAGTATGCTTGGTTAAGGGCTACAACAGCCATGCAGGTGGCTATGGGCAGGGCAGCTTCCAGAGGATGAGGGATGAGGCTGGGAGCATGACCTGAGGGGCAGCTCATTGCCTGGGGAGCCCAGGAGAAGGAGGCAGAGACCTAATCTGCCCTAGGCTGTAGGAAGCCAGGAAAGCACCATTTTCTGCAGCACTGACTCAAGTATGAAAGCCTGGATGCCACGTGCAGGGTGCCAGAATGCCTGCTCAGTCCAGTTTAGGAGCTGAGGATCTGTGGTCCCTCCGTGTGGAGGGCACTGGGCCTGAAACTGAGCACACACTGCCACCCCACTTCATGGCTGTCCTCAGCCAAGGGTCAGAGCCAGCGCGGTCTGTTCCCCTGGGCCCGTTGTCAGCCGAAGACAGACAAGCTTCAGACTCTGCTGTTGTTGCAGCTGTGATAGATACCTGTGATGAGATGGAGAATGGACTTACAGATGGACAGGCCCCAAGGTGCCTTGACCCCTCACTCAAGTACTGTGTCTGCCTGCTTTTCCCCTCTGTGGCGTCTGCAGCTGCGTGAACCACATCCCACACAAGGAGTGCTTACCTCTGAACTCTGCCACAGGTTGTCACTGCCCACACCAGCCTCAGTCAGATGCTCAGCCATACTGCCATCCCCGAATGCCCTCCCCAGTTACCTGGCAGTGGGGATGCTGTGTGAGGTAGTGGACTATGGCAGTCTGAAGTGCTCCTCCTGGGTCCAGCACTGTGACATCAATGTCCACCTGAGGGAACACATCCAGATTGTGTTTCTTGATCTGGTGGGTACTCAATAGCTGCTGGTAGGTGTCCCCATTCAGTCAGTGCAGTCAGAGGTGGCTCGTTAGGTCATTGACACCAGGAAGCTTCTCTTTCTGGCTATGCTGCTGAATATCATTTACATCTTCCAGTGTCATGCCAGCTGGGGCCATGCATCGTCACCTCATTGATAAGGGTGGTGCAATCTCTCTAGGCAAGTATGTCGATGTCTTGGGAGGTGACGAGTCGACCAGTTTGCTGCTGAGGAAGTTGTGCTATGTCCTGGCCCCCAGCAGTGCCCATGGCGTGCACCATTCAGCTCCATGGTCTGCAAGGAAGCTTTGTTCAAACTTCTTGGCCTTCTGTGCCTGGTTGGCCTAGAGCCTTGGGGTACACTGAGGTGGAAGAGAATCAGCGTCACTGGGATGGCCATGTCAGGCTCTCTCAAAGTGTCCATGGGCTGGGGCAAGTGTGCTGACTGTATTAGGCCTACCACAACAGTGAAGCAGCCAGGAGAGTCATGAGGCAATCCTTGGTGAGGCAGCCACCACTGATTGGCCGTCTGCTACACTGCATTGAGACATTTTGGTCCTGTTGAATTTTTGAGCAGACAGCCACCAGGCCTTCCTGTCTTCTGAGCTTTATCCTTGGGCAAGGGCGGCTTTTTCTGTGTTGTTGTTACATGCCATCTAGTCAACTCTAATTCTTAATGACACTATGTACAACAGCTCTGAACCCTGTTCTTTCTTTAGCCATCCTCATTGTCCTTTACACACTTAGTTCATTACCTCAGTCACGGAGTCTATCCATCTTATCCTGGGTCTTCCTCTCCTGTACTTTCCCTCCATCCTTCTAAGCATGATGTCCCTCTTCAAAGACAAGGAACAAGGATGGCCCCTCCTTGCAGCATAGAGACTGAAAATCCTTTCTTCCAGCTTTCATCCTCTCCAGAAAAGACTTGTTCTCTTGGCAGTCCCCAGCTCTTGTTCCAGCACCACAACTCAAAGGCATTAATTCTTTGGTCATCCTTAGTTTTATCCAGCTCCCTGATGCATAGCAAGTAACTTCGAAGACCATGACCTGGATCAGGCATACTGTAAGCTCTAGACTGACATACATCGTTGCTCATTCGTACTCTGGAGAAGTCCCTAACAACAGATTTTTTTTTAGTGCAGTTTGTCTTTTGATTTGTAACAGTGGCCTAAAGCTGTGAGGCTCAAGGTTGAGGGGCCTCTGAGCACATTTTGAAAAGTATTCTGATTGTATTCTCCTATTCACCTGGATTATAACCTTTTGACTTCCCTAACATGGTTCTGTGTGGTCTGTGAGCTATTGCATTTGAATTTGAATCAGCAAAACAGTTGGTTTGTGTTGAGATGAAAGAGGTAGGGAATTGTGGGAGGCATGTCTCACATCATGGAAATTGGTTTTGTGTTATTGATATTGTTGACAGGGACAGTTCCCCTTTGTGAAATTGATAAAGATAAGACATGGCCTTCCCCACATGGCCTTTGCTATTTTTACAGTTGGCCCTTATGTGTGGGAAGGATCAGAGGCTGGCACATGGATAACTGGTTGATCTCGTTGACATCCAGCCACCATGGAGCTCTTAAGCACAGTGGACATCTGTCTGAACTTAAACCTTTTTGCCTGGATATGGACCCTTCTGCCAGGTGCAGCCTGGCTTCATGAAAAGCCACTCTGCCCTTCAGAAATGTTCTGTGTGTTTGGAACAGAACTGAGTTGGACTCTGCCTCATTCCCCTGGGTAAAAGTCATTTCCATACAACGTGTTCATATACGCTACTCAGCAAAACTTTACAGGTGGCCACAGAACACTTCCTCAGAAACTTGAGCTGCAGTGTTGACCCTTGTCCATGTTCCCTCCTCCAACCCAGTTCAGGCCCAGACACATTCATTTATGGCAGCCACCTTAGTGACATGCAGTAAAGGCTTAGGGGTGTCCCATAATGCATCTCCAAGGCTTACTCTCACCAGGAGAACACCTGGCTCATCATGCGTGGGCGAAGTCTCACTTTACAGTATGTGGGATTCAGACCACCTTTCTATCCAGCATTGAAATGTTTCAGGGTTTTCAGCTCAGAGAAGCTGTGGGAACATGTTTGCATCCTCAGAAAGCTTGATCCTAGAGGCTACCGTAAGAGGGCCTCTGCTCTTTTCCTTCCTTTCTGTTTCCCCTTCCCACAGGGCTGACTGTTACCCTCTGTTGTGAATGGGATGTCCCCAGGTTGGGCCAGGAGGCCACATAGCACAGTGACAGGTCTTGCAAGAACTACCTTCAAGGCATAAGGTGTACGTGGGCTTCAGTTGGTGCCCTTCATCCCAATGAGGATCGCAAACTTAGTATCAGACAGGATGCTTGAGCTTGGGTCTGCTATCCCCAAAGCACAATGACTAGTGAGAGGCAGGCCTGGCTGTGATTCACTAGAGAGAAATGGGCAAACAGTGTCTAGAATCTGTAAGCTCTGGGAATCAGGAAAGTGAGCTGAAAATGTGAATAATGTTTAATTGTGCTGAACTAGCCCATGAGTCCTTTAGGTTGTTTCTGCTGTGGTTTTGTTTCTGTTTTGAGTTGATTACTAATGCCACTACTATTGGCTTTCAGTTTACAGTGTGAAAACAAGCATTTACCATCAAGTTGGCTAGCTCCCTGGGCCTGTGTGTTGGTTTTCCATAGGATTTTTGAATGGAGCTTGCTAGACCTTTCCTCAGAGATCCTCCTGAGTACTCTGGAACACCCAGGCCTTCAGTCAGCAGCCACATGGTAATTGCTTTCACCATCCAGCTAGTTTACCCAGAGGCCTCTCTGGATGACCCGTCTTTAGCATAGCCCGCTCTTTATCTGTCTGCCTGGTGAGCTGGGCAGTCTTGAGCAGTTCGCCTCTTTGGGCATCACTTTCTTCTGTGAAATGGTTTTGTAATCACTTTCTTTTGGGATCTTTGGTTTGTCATTTTTGCTGCATTGTGGTGACTTGTGTGTTGCTGTCATGCTGGAAGCTGTGTGGAAGGCAGTGTGGCGCTTTCTCAAAAAGTTGCAAATAGAGACCCAGCAATTCCACTACTGGGAATATATCCTAAAGAAACCATAACTGCCACCCAAGCAGATATATGCACACCCATGTTTATCGCAGCTTGGTTCACAATAGCAAAGACTTGGAAACACCCTAAGTGCCTATCAACAAACAGAGAAGCTGCGGTTTATTCACACAAAGGAATACTATGCAGCATTGAAAAACAAGGAACTCATGAAATAGTAACCACAATGGGTGACCCTAGAGGACATTATGCTGAGTGAAACATCTCAGTCACAAAAGAACAAATACTGAATAGTTCGTTTTTTAAAGAGAAGTCACTGAAGTAATTTATTATATTTTTTTTATTAGAATACTTGTTCAGTATAATTAAAGCATAATGAGTACTCTGGCAGCAAAGGGAGAAGTCACCAGGTGTGCACCTTCTAGGGAGGCTGGTGCCAGTGTCAGGGAAATGAGTGCTGACACTCAGGTCTGTGTTTGTTGTGTTATCCTCTAGTAGATGGACACATGATGGCACCTTCAGTTCCTCTCCTTAATTGGCTCAGAAATGATTTGTGGCTTTGAAAATGAGATGATAATAAGATTAGTATTTACTTACTGCATGATAAAAGTCAAATGAAATCATGGCTAGGTTGTACCTGGCACGCAGTCACTCTCCCCCTAACCATTCAGAAAATGCTGGATGTTCCCATCTGAGTATCCATTCCTCTTTCAGGAATAAGACAGCTAACGGTGACTGCCGGAAAGACCACCGGGAACGTAGCCGCAGCCCTGTTGAGCGTGCAGTGGCCCCCACCATGAGCCTGCACAGCAGCCACCTATACACATCCATCCCCACCCTCAGCCTGGACCAGCCCCTTGCCCTGACCAAGAACAGCACAGAGCCCAATAGGCCGATGGGTGTCTCACCCACCCTGGCCCCAGCCGAACGGCAGCAGGTAAGTTTGGGCACTCTGTAGGGAGGGGCAGGTGCAGGCCCCCTTCAAACTCCCCAAGCACCTGAGCCTTTTCCCGAGGGCTCCTCAAGGTCTGACTCTGGCCTGAAACAGCCCAGCTTGGTGAGGAGACAGCCACAGACAAGACAGTTAATGTCGGTCTCTTTCCTCCCATAATAGAAGGCCTCTCTGTAATGGTTTTCCAGCAGCCTTTGTTGGTGAGCTTTTCTATTAGGATCAATGGGTTTTCTTCACAGAAAGCCCACATTTACCTGCTTGAAGGCCACACAGGCAGAACTAATCTCAAACTGCTGTGCTTAAGGGTGAAACACTATAAAGTTAGTGGTGAGTGAGATTTCCAGGAAATGTCAAGGATGGCACAGGATAGAACAGGATTCAGCTCTTTGATTGATAGGGTCTCTGTGAGTTGTACTCAACTAGAAGGCACTGAACACCAAAAACAAGGTGAGGAAAGACTAGGGAGCTAGGGAGCTATCTGATGGTCTAGTGTTAAGAATCTATGCTGCAATCCCAAAGGCACATGGTTTGAATCCACCAAGCTGCTCCATAAGAGAAGGATGGGCAGTCTCCTCCTGTGAGATTAACTCCTTTGAAAACTGTCCGGAGAGTCAGCTGTGGGTCAGTTACAACTCTGCAGTATACAATGACAAGGGAAAATAAGGAAATGAGATTTTTACTTAATAAAGAGAGCTTGTCTGGTCGAAAACATAACTCTTACATACAAGTGGGGCTCTTGGGGAAGCACCCAGTGGAGAGAGGCTGCAGCAGTGGGCAGTGAGGGTGGCTGTGCAGAACTGGTGCAGCCTATTAGAGCCTCTGGCCTGGCCCAGCTGCAGCCTGACTGCTGCTTGGCCAGTGCTGTTGAATGGTCATGGCACAGTCTGCACAGTCTGCCCTGATCTCACCATCGGTTCAGAGAGCTAGTTTTGTGAAGTGGATCACTAGGCCTTTTCTTCCTCATTTTAATCTAAAGATTGCACTGATGCGTGTTCATTGCCACAGCAGTGCATAGACCTCCCTGGGGGTGCATGACAGCTGTACCTGAGGTTCTCTGGTTGTTTGCCAAGCTTGGTCCTGCATGGATGGGTTTTTCGCCCCCCAGTCACCTTCCCTAGATGTCTCCTCAGCCCTTCATAACCACACTTTCTCCTTTGCCATTTTTGTTAATAGGTGTGTTTGCAATTAGAGAAGGCATGCTGAAATCAAGGGAGTAAACTTTTTAGGTAATAAGGATTTGATACAGTTACATGGGACACCTATATCCCAGGTGGTAGGATTAGGAGGGTGAAGCCCTGATTGTCACAGTTGGACAAGCAGAGTGTCCTGTAATGAGGGTGGCAGCTTCTGAAGAAACTTTTTTGTTTGGAAATCCTGGTGGACCAGACATGTTCCACAGGTCACAGAGGGTTAGATTGGCCCTCTGAGTGGAAGGCCTGAGGAAATGGCTGTTTCAGGGAGGGGTGGAGCCCAAAGAGGTGTCCTATGTGTGCAGGTACTTTTTTCTGAGGGCTGTGCTGGGCTCTGCTCTTGACCAGGCTTGTCTGCAGGGCCTCCTGGTATTGGGGGTGGGGATTCAGGTTCATGGGAGTTCAGAGTTGCACATCCTTCCTCGGAGCCCTTGTGTTACAACCCAGTGTGCTTCAGTTATCCCTTCAGCAAAAATGTCCACATTGCCTGTGATCCTGGGAACACACTGTTTGGTTAGGTACTGCAGACTAGAGAGCCTGGCTCAACTAGGCTCAGACATGGAAGGGAGTTCTCTTGCAGGACCCTGGGCGTCTCCCAGAACCAGGTTGGGGGTGCGGCCGGGCTCCAGAAGGAAGGGGGTATGCCTGGAGTGCTGGATAGAAGGCAGGACGTGCTTCTTCCTGGCCCAGTCTCTGCCTACAGCTCCCTCCACTGGGCGAGCCTCATATCCTACACAGGCAGCTGTTTCTCAGGCCTCAAATGGTTTCTATCCCTAGGTCTTAAGTCTCTTACCAAGTCGGCTGGGCCCAAGTACAACCCAGAGTCAGGTTTCTACTGCAGTCTTAGAACTGTGGCCACAGAGGAGACACTGTCTCTCTTTAAAACCTGCTGCCTGGGCCCTGTTAGGTGGGTGGAGGACCTTCTCAGAGGGAATGGGAGTGGCCCTTGAGAAGGTGGTCTCTGAGCCCCACCTGTCCTCCCAATGTCACCCACCAACTCCTGTCAGCTCACCAGCACTCATCAGGTGCTGTCACCACAGTTCTATGTGAAGAAACAGCAGCTTAGGGGAGTAACAGCTTTTCCCAGGTCTGGCCTGCCCTCCCTCTGCATGGTCTCTTTGTTCAGACCTGGAAAAATCATACAAAGTCCTGGTGGCTTAAATCCCTGGTCATTGTACCTCATGTACAGCTGTTACCTGTTACTGAAGGCTTGAGTGTTAGGACATGAAAAGAGGTTCAGTGGAGCTTTTAGACTAGGAAAAGAAGGCCTGGTAACCTACTGAAAGTCTGCCACCAATAACCAGAAAACCCGTGGCTTACACTGTTGGATCTCAGGTCACCATGAGCTGGGGCCAGCTGGACAGCAGATGACTAGATTTCAACAGGGTTTTTAATGTTAGAGAAAAAAGCCTTAGTAATCTTTTAAAAATTGTTACTGTTATGTGCTGTGAAGTCAACTACAACTCACAGAGACCCTAAGTACAACAGACTGGACCCTTGCGCTATCTTGTGCTATCCTCATTATCTCTGATATGCTTGAACCCATTGTTACTAAGTCCATTTCTCTGCCCCACCGCAACCCCTCAAGATATGTGTTTTCTTGTTAGATATAAGCATGTTTTGTCCCAGTTGTTCTGTGGACTCTCATACCAGTCTGCCACACTTTTTATAGAGCTGTGGGGTTTTTTGTCCCTCCACGCATGCATTCTGCTCATCTAGGAAGAATTGATGTGCAGCCACTATCAGCCAGGGAGCAGACTCAGGCAGGGCTACTCTGATCAGCCTGTGTATTTCTCCACCATTCCTGGGCCAGGGTGTGGAGGTAGCTTTGCTGGAATCTGAGGAGGAAGTTCACAGACATTTTCTGACCCATGGAATGCACTAGGGTCTGGGGATCCAGCAGACAGACACTGTTCCAGCTCTTGTGTCACTCCCTGGCTCTGGGCACCTGGGAGGACAGGCTGATCTACCGACTGCTGGGGCCAGAGGTGGCAGGCAGAGGAAGCAGGTGGAGGTCATCACTTTTTGAGGGTCTCTGCAAAGGTTTTTAAGGATGTCTGGAGCTCACTGGGACAGGCAGGTTGGGTGCTGTGGGTGAAAGGGCAGCTTGAGTGGGAGATATATACACTTAGATATTTTACATGTCTTCATCTCCATTGTGATTTGGATGATCACAGTAGAAACAAGTTGGGGCTAGTTTTGACTACACACAAAAATGAGTTGATTGGAAGGGTGTGGGGATGGGGAAGAACCAGGACATGCCTGGAGTAAGCCTGAAGGGCAACCCAGGAGGGCTTGGAATCCAGCTCACAGCCCTTAAGTGACTCAGTTCCAAACTCCCTATGTTTGCTTTCATTCACAGAGAGAGAGAGAGAGAGACATTGAACAGCCTCACCTTTGTCACTTGTCCCCCTCTGATTCAGAGGACCAGGCAGGGTTACATTGCAGAGAAAGGGCAGACAGGAGTGGACTGTGCCAACCGGCGAGTCCCCAGCCCCTGGCTGGTTCAGGAATCGGTTCAGGTGGGATCCAGGACAGTCGTCTTTATGTCATCATTCATGTTGGCAGTGGGGTGCTGGGCTGGTGGTGCTCTGACATGGCCCCTTGCTCCCCTTTCTTCCAGAACCGGCCCTCTGTCATCACATGTGCCTCTGCCAGCAACCGCAACTGCAACCTCTCCCACTGCCCCATGGTGCACAGTGGCTGTGTGGCTTCCCTGCCCACCAGCTACCGGAGACCCCTGAATAGTGAGTGCTTCTGTGGGCTTGGGGATCTGGTTGGGGGATCTCTTCACCCCAGGCTAGAGAGTGAAGCAACCAGTCCCCAAGTGGGCTGCCTCCCCACTGAGGCTGGAGAGGTCTGTTTATTGAGCACATTTGTGTCCAGCAGGGTGAGGAGGACATGGGCTTCAATGTCCTGCTTCTCACACCCCAGGCGGCGTGAACACAGCACTAAATTGTGACATTAACACGTTGCTGCACACTTAAATTGACTACCATGCTTAGAAACACTTTTTTTTTCTTTTTCTGTCATTTGTGGCAACGTTATAAGTACTGAGTTCTCACCTCAGCCTGGTGCAGTAGATATGCCACTACGTCTCTCAGTCTGGGAAATCAGTCTGTCCAGGTACCCACTAAGGTGGAGAAGGCCGTGCCATCCAGAGCTTACAAGGCCGCACGTCCTGCTTGGCTTCTGTGCACCAGGACTACACCTCCTGGCTGCAGGCCCTCAGTGGTTGGGATGGTAGCCCCACGGCTGTCCACAGGGCTGATCACTCACCTCCTCTCCTTTAGCAGCCACCACCTGTGATCCGGTGGTGGAGGAGCATTTCCGCAGGAGCCTGGGCAAGAACTACAAGGAGCCTGAGCCAGCACCCAACTCCGTGTCAATCACTGGCTCCGTGGATGACCACTTTGCCAAAGCCCTTGGCGACACGTGGCTTCAGATCAAAGCAGCCAAGGATGGTGCCTCTAGTAGCCCGGAGCCAGCCTCCCGGAGGGGCCAGCCCACCAGCCCCTCAAGCCACATGGTCAGCCACAGCCACTCTCCTTCTGTGGTCTCATGAACAGGGCCCACTGGACACGCGAGGAGCTTCGCGGTCTGCCAGGCTTTGAACAGTCAGCTCTTCAAACAACAGAACATGTTCGGGCGGGGGTGGGGGGTG